GTAATTCGAACACATTTCAGTAGCAAGCTGACAATAATATATATCTATAACATGTATAGCAGGTCACCCGCCTCGTACTTAGTAACAGAGGCGCTCCTTATGATATTAGCGCTCTATAACCTTCTAGTCAGGCTAGGGGAGCATGTCTTACTAGAGGACTTTAACTTATATCATCTATATTAGAGCGGAACCTTATACAATACTAAGTATAAAGCAGCAAAGTAATTAATTAATCTTATTACTAATGCTGAACTAGAACTAGTTCTTCCCTTAGGCACTATTACCTAAGAGGCAAGGGGCCTCTGCTTAATTATTAACCTAGTATTTATTTCTGCCTTATTAACTCAAACTTGATTACTACTAAGTAGAATATGACTTATACTAATTAGCCAACTACCTCTCTCTCTTAACTTAATTACATATAGAGAGCACGCCTTATACAAAAAGGCTAAGAAGAGCCTGAAAGCTTATTAATATAAGTAAGGTAACAGAAATGACTACAACAGCACTACCAAAGAGGTATCTTAATATGCCTAAGATAATCAATGCCTATATAGCAGAGATTCAAGACTATCTTAACAAGATTATCAGCGAAGCGGTTCCGTAGGCATGATAGAATGCCTATAACAAGTCTTTCTGGACCCTAGAGTGCTTAGAGGCAATGAGGAATACTTGTCAACTTTGCTATGTGTGGACATTAATAAGACAGGAAGAGGACTAGGGCGAGCTATTAATAAAGCTAAGCGGATCGACTTTAGAACAGGAATTAAACATACTAGTAATGACCTTAGAGGTCTATAGAAACTCGCTAAATAGGCAAGAACTAATAGCTATCGCCTACGTAATTCCCCTAAGTTTATACTGCTAGCAACCTAGGGCGCTATAGCACACACCTTTAATGACTAGATTAAGGCGCTTAAAGCCGCCTTTTTCCTGTTATTACTAGAGGCACTTCTTAATAATATTAAAGACGCGGTATACCTATAGGTATATTACTGCCTTATAGCCATTACTAAAGAGGAGGTATAGAATACTATTCAGCGTACAGGGGCAAACAGAGCCCCGGGCCCTGATGGGATCCCTAACAAGATCTCAGGCCTGCGTTGACCAGCTTATACCTGCGCTTACCCATTTATTCTCTGCCTGCACGTTGCTTGCATACTACTCTTATGCTTTTCAGGAGGCCTATATACTAGCTCTAAGAAAACCTAATAAACCGGATTACTCATCTCCTAAGGCCTATAGACTAATAGCCTTGCTTAATATAATAGGCAAGACGCTAGAGTCTATTATAGCGTGATAAATCACCTTTTTAGCTGAGCGATATAATGCTCTCTCAGAGACACAGATAAGAGTAAGGGGCAACCGCTTAACTAAGGCAGCGCTAAAGCTCCTTACTAAATAGATATATATAGTCTGGAACTAAAGGAGAGACAAGGTAGCTTCTTTGCTAAGCATGGATATAGCAGGCGTCTTTAATATAGTGTTGCATTAACAGTTAATCTATAATCTGAGAAAGTAAAGGATCCCTCCTATAATCACTAAATAAGTAGCGAGCTTCCTGTCAAACAGGGCTTTTACACTCTCTATAAGTAATAAGACGTCTAAGAGATTCAAGGTCTATATAAGGATCCCTTAGGGCTCCCTAGTCTCGCCTATTCTGTATCTCTTCTATAATGCGAATCTATTAGATATTACTAATTATTAAGAGACTAAGACGAGCGCTTTTAGCTTTATTAATGATATTAACATACTTATGTTTAGCTAAAGCATAGAGAAGAACTGCAGATGCCTAGAGTAGTTATATAATAAGTGCTTACGCTAGGCCTGTTATTATAGCGCTGTCTTTGCGCTACAAAAGTATGAGCTGATTCACCTTACAAGAAACCTAAGGAAGTTTAATATAGAAGAAATGATTAATATGGCTGGCACCCTAATAGTGACGAAAACGGACATTAGAGTGCTAGGACTTCAGATTAATACTCAACTAAAATGGGGCCCTCACGTTAAAAAGGTGCTCCAAAAGATGACTTAACAGACGCTTGCGCTTATAGCTCTATTAACTTCTATATAGGGCGCTTCCCTCTTATATGCGAGACGCATTTATAACGCTGTCGTCAAACTAGTAATGACTTACGCATCAGCTATTTAGCATCTTCCTAACGAGTTATAAGGCACAAAATCAAATACTGCCAAACTCTCGCCTATCCAGAACAGGTGCTTACGCGTGATAGCTAGGGCCTATAAGGCCACGCCTATCCCGGTCCTTAAAGCGGAGACTTACTCCCTGCCTCTTTTGTTGCTACTTGATAGTATCTAAATAGACTCTTATTGCAGACTTATAGTTACAGGCATAAGGCAACTTATCCACAAAAGCTGTCTCCAGATTATTAAGAAGCTTGACTTATAGCAGGGACGCCCCTACTATGCTACTGTAACACTAGGTACTAGAAAGCATAGCTGACACAAATAACGCCTTCTTAAGCTTAATACAGAGACAAAGCTAAACTAAGCCCTAGAACGCTCTCTACTATAGGAAAAACCCTTACAAGAAGCGGCCACGCTACTTACAGAAGCACAACAACAACGCTAGTCCTATTGCTAAATAGTCAGGTTCCTAATGCCAAGGCTGCAGAAATAAACTTACCGCTAAACATAGGTATTCTTAACGCTAAACTCTACAAGGAAGGATACTCACGACAGGGATTTAATCAGACTCATAAGGGATAACTAGACAAGTAGAATTAAAGTCAGATTTATTTAGAAGTATCTCTGCTATACTGTAACAAAGCATCTTAAATTTAAAACTTTTCTTTATACTAAAAGATCTGCTTAGGCGTTAATTCTAAGTCACTATCTGAGTATATTGTACAGCCAGGAAAGGTAAAGTATAAATCTTCTCCTGTGTGTCCTGGACAGACTAACGCAGCACTAGGACTCTTTACCACTTTGTAGCCTACTCGATAGGCATAGATGCGAGTCAATCAGGAATGTTAATTTTATAAATGTCCTCAGGCTCGCAGATCTACTTGCTCGCAAAGACTTTGTTCTTGAGTGCTAATCCGCAGATAACTTTGATCAAACAGAAACTTAGAACATTCTGTCGCTCTAGAAATTTAATCAGGGGTCTAGTATCATAGTTAGTAGGTGATGTCAAATTAATCTATGGAAGAACTAACAGATTGCCACAATTTTGTCTACCTTTAAGAAGTCGTAACGTGATAAGCATGCCTAGTTTCACACTACCCGGGTTCTCCTCATCTCGAAGAGCGTAAAGTTGAATGTCTCTATACTTAATAGCCTTATTTTGCTTAAGGTATCTAGTAGACTTAACTATAGTACCAGCACGTAATATAGTTAATATACAAAAAAGATTTAAAGCTACGTGCTAAACCTGCTGCTACTCCTCTAAATAATATTTATTACTAAAGACCTAATAGTAATAGAGGATATTAAGTATATTATCTGTATTTATTACTGCTCTAAACCAGCCGGTTTCCTAGAGCTTAAACTTATTAATTAAGTAATCTATAATAATGTTACGAATCCTCTTGCGACCTACGCCAAGGACCATATTCCCTGTGGCACTGACCATGGCTCACAGAGCTCATCTCGGACCCAGCTCCCCGCCGCTATTCTAGCCATCACTGACGACAGGTACCCACAGTTGTCTGTACCTGGCCTCAGCGAGATAAGGGGCACAGACATGTATATAGAGCGTTGTGTTCCCACTTTCGTTTCCTTTTCTTCACGCTTCGTCTTGTATATTAGGCCCAACCATAGCTCTCCTGACAAATAAACTATAAAGTAAAATCTTTTATTAGTAAGATTATCTATATTAAGTATCTAATAAAGCCTATATATTCTTTATATCCATTTTAATAGATTTGTGTACAAAATAATATATATAAATGCGAATTATAATCCTCTAAAATTTTGCGAAAGTAAAAAGAGTAGACAACGATTTTATATTTAAGGTCTTATAGCTCTATTCTAAGAATAATTAAATGACTTTATAAGATAAATATTTCTCACATATTTTAACAGGATTAAGGGTCAGAAAGTAACTTGACTCTTTATAGACTTTCTAACAGAACCTAATTACACTTGATTAGTGTCTAAAGAGAACAAAGATAAGAGACTTACAGAATCCATTATATCTATGCATTTTTATATGATTTTTTAGTACTGTCCACATACTTAGGTATTGTCAGTTTAGTGCTTTGACCTAGTTTGCTAATTAGCTCTTTAAATAGTCACAAATGTCTTTTTGTCTTTTGCTTCGTATAAGTAGAGAGTAAGACTGCCATTGCTGGGTCTTTGGGATGGTGTTGTTGCGGAGAGGGGAGCAACTTTTTATATGCGGATTCGGATCCATTGAGTCGTTTCTGCTATACTAAAGGACAAATTAGGTTATAACCTGATTAAGGGCGACAATGAAGTTGGGTGGGTGAGGGGGAATTCTGCAAAAAAACGGCACCCCCAAATCAGGTCCCTTGTCTAGCGTAGGTGCAGAGGGTGCCAAAAGCAGCGTCAAAAGGGTCCCTGATTTGGCACCCTTTTTTACACTCTGATGTACAGTTACTCCGTATGTTGCGTCCTTTGTGTTCTAAGGTGGGGACTGCTCATGTGGCTGGCGAAGCTTGGCAGTGGACTTTCGCGCCACTGCAGGCCACAGCTTCCCGCAGCTTCCAGCCGCGCTGCGGACCAATCAATGCACCATAAAGCTGGGTACGACTTGGCATTATTTACTACGTACATTCAAGTTGTCCCAACCTCTTCTGTTCCAGCAACACATCAGTCGACAAAGTATGTTCCGACACCTTCCAGCCATCGAGATGCCCAGTAGCTTAGGGATGTCTTCCTATAATGTATTTCTTTCATTGCATGCTGCGTGCACTCCCATGCAAACATTGTGACACTCTCCACCCTTTCCATCTCCTGTGCTCAATTCCAGAGTCTACCATAGCATATTACAGGACACTGCAGCCATAACCATCATGAAATTCAACCCACCGTTCACGTTGCTTGCTATCTTCTTTGCTCTACATTTCACAGATGCCTTACCGCTTTCAGGATCACACAAAGAGCGACAAGTTGCTCCAAGAAAGGCGCCTTATTCGGTCGTTCCTGTGGATGGAGGCCAGTCTGATGGAATTACCCAACCTACGACACAGATCGTTACCAGTGATTCTACACAGACAGTCACCGAACCACCGAGGACAATACCACCTGTAACAGAGACCCTGCTCTCCACTACTATTGTCACCGAGTCCGAGGCACAAGCGACAACGATCACCACCATTACCACGACCTCCACACCCGTCACCACCCAAGTCTCTGTCAAAGAAGCCTCCCCTTCTGTTGACATAAGTGTCGCAACGGTGACTACTATCGTTTCGACTGCGGACAAAGTCACCATTACCTTGACGCCATCGGTCACTCCCTACGATAATGGAATGTGGCACACAACGTATTACAAGGTGGTAGAGGCATCGTCTTCTTCCGAGACAAGCAGCACCAAAACAGCAGATCAGACACACTCTTCAATAATTGGCACCGACTCCGCCGCATTCACCGGCCAACCCTCGAATGGAACTTATACTTTGGTACTAAGAGGGAAGAACCATTCGACACCATCCAGCACGATCAACAACGGGACACTTTTTACAAACAGCACCACCGCTGCATTGGCGAACAAACCACCAATGCCAACACTGCCTAAGGTTTCGGAAGTCGTCAACCCTACCGAGGTTCCTACAATCGATGTGGCAAAAAACATGGTGCCCGGCTTTGGCAGGTAAAGTTTAACGGAGCGCAACAACGAGCGATGAACAAACCTCTCGACGAATTCAGGACAAATGAAGAATATAATGAGAATCGGTTTTGTACCAAAACAGCAGGAATAGCTTTGCATAGTTTTGATTCATGGGAGATTGGAAAAAGGTCAAGCAGTTGATTGGGATCTCAGCGAAGGCGCTGGTGGGCAACGAACATTTAAGCACTTAAAGACCAAAGGCACATAATCGATAATAGACATAGACGATAATAGAGAGCATTTGATCCACCTTTGACGTTGCTCGCAATTAATCAAAGGATTCCTACGACGGCTTTCTTTTCATAATCTGCTTAGTCACCTTATCGCCAAGACGTCGATTGATGAAGCTTCACTGGCAGGTGAAGCTTAGTTAGTCCTGCAGGTATGATCGTGTGAGGAAAGACAAAGAGCTGGCGATGCACTTTAGATACCACTGGAGCTGAAACAGCTGATGCAGGCTACTCGGACGGGCGTTCTCTGCAAGCAGCACAGCATCGAGTGCGCCAGGCTTCCAGGACTACCGTCATGGCGTCCTCCCCTCCTGCGATGCAAGACCAAGGGAGGTTGCTTGAAGAGGCCCTGGGAGTGGTACGGATGCAATCATCACACATGAGGAAATGCTTGGAAACACCAGGGAAGCTTATGGACGCTCTGAAATGCGGGTGCGAGCCAATTTTCTCTGGAAAATGTTGATTGCGCTGACTTAACGCGAAGCTCTACTCTTGTTTCCGAGCTTCGTACGCCTACTTTAGGTCCGAAGCAATACTACGAACTCTACATGGCCGTCTTCGATGCTCTTCGGCACCTGTCCGAGTATCTCCGCGAGTCCCATCCTGTCAACCATCTCGCCGATCTGTACGAACTTGTTCAATATGCGGGCAACATCATACCCAGGCTATACCTTATGATCACCGTAGGCACAGTCTACATGGCCGTAGAGGATGCACCGGTGAAAGAGATCATGAAAGACATGATGGAGATGAGCCGAGGTGTGCAGCATCCAATTCGTGGTCTCTTCTTGAGATACTACCTCAGCGGGCAAGCAAGGGACTATCTGCCTACAGGCGAAGGAGATGGCCCGCAAGGAAATCTTCAGGACTCTATAAACTTCGTTTTGACGAATTTTGTAGAGATGAACAAGCTATGGGTACGGTGGCAGCACCAGGGTCACTCACGTGAAAGGGAGCAGAGAACGCAGGAACGAAGAGAGCTAGAGCTGTTGGTTGGCAGCAATCTAGTTCGACTGAGTCAGCTCGTCGACCTCGAGACATACAGAAAAACCATTCTATCCCCTTTACTGGAGCAAGTCGTGGCATGTAGGGACGTTCTTGCCCAGGAATACCTCCTTGAAGGTAGGAGTTTTCCATGACCCCTAAGAGCGAAGCCTGACTTAATTGCCAGTCATCACCAAGGTGTTTCCCGATGAGTATCATTTGCATACGCTAGATCAAATCCTCTCGGCGATTGCTAGGCTCAATCCACATGTTGATATGAAGAAGATCGTCATCGGCCTAATGGATAGGCTATCCTCATTTGCGCAGCGGCAAGCGGAGGAAGACGCATCAGCTACAGAGAGGCAAAAGGCTGAGCAGGAGGCCACTAGTCGATTATTTGAGAAGATGCGGCTGGCAAAAGAAACAAATCCTCAGTCTCCCAAGAAGGTTAATGGCACAGAGGATGCTGATGAAGTGAATGGCATCAAATCCAATGAGCAAGTTTCGGGTTCGAATGGATCAGTAGAGGAGCCAACAGCAACCGAAATTGACGACAGTACTCCTGCTTCGAAAACTTCCAAACCAAGCATTCTGGCCGATGTGAAGCTGTACGAGATCTTCTACGACCAGGTCGTCAGTCTTGTAAAGACCAGGGGACTTAGCATACAAGACACAATGGGCTTACTCACGTCACTCGTCAATCTCGCACTGTAAGTTTGACAAAACCGCAGAGATGTTGAATATGGCTAATATGTCGAAGTAACATATACCCAGACAAACTAGGTATTTTGATGTCTATGACAAAGTACAATCCCTTACTGATACTGGGTAGAATATGTTGATCAGATATTGTCATACGCGAGCCAAAAAACCAATGAATACATGGACAGTCCAGACCTTCACTCACCAGCAGCGCAGTCTAATATGCTCAACCTTCTACTGGCGCCCATTAGAACTTACTATTCGCTCTTCACGGCTCTTGTGCTTCCCAATTACATTCCCCTTTTCTCCTCACAAACATACTCGACCCGCAGGGCTGTGGCCGGTGAGATCGCCAGAAGCATCCTCCGAAATCGTGTCAAAATATCAACATCGGAACAACTTGAAGGCGTCCTGTCGTTACTGAAAGTCTTGATCAGGGAAGGTATCCAACAGCCAAGTGGGTACCCAGGTCTCGGTGCCAGACAAAGAGGTGGCGAAACCGATGAGACCCTTGAGGAACAGGGCTGGCTCGCAAGGATAGTTCATCTTGTGCAAGCCTCCGACAATGACACACAACTTCAGGTGAGCTGCATGTGGTGAACACGGTCGTTGGAGGTGACTGATTTCTCGAAGCTCCTCCAGCAGTTACGCAAAGCATATGACGCCGGAAATGAACGCATCAGATATACCAGCCCAGCACTGATAACATCATCATGGTCACTCGCTCGGAAATACAAATCACGGGAGCACTACGAAGACAACTGGTCTACTCAGTCTTCTACTTTATATCGTTTTATGCATCAGTCGCTCACCACTCTCTACACTCGTGTTTCGCCGTCTTCGGCAGAACTTTGCCTCCGACTTTTCATCTCCTGCGGACAGATAGCCGATCAGTGTGGATTTGAAGAATTTGCATACGAGTTCTTTGCTCAAGCCTTTACAATTTATGAGGACAGCATCAGTGACAGCCGGGCACAATTTCAGGCTGTTTGTATAATTGCTGGAGCACTGCAAAGTACCCGAGGTTTTGGAAAAGAGAACTATGATACTCTGATTACCAAGGCCGCATTACACGGTAGCAAGCTTCTGAAGAAGCCGGATCAATGTCGAGCGGTTTACCTAGCAAGCCACCTGTGGTGGGGAATTGAGATTCCAGCCAGAGGTGAAGAGGATGCGAAGAATGTGAGTTGGTTGTTGAGGTCCCACAGACTCGTGCTAATGAGTTTCCTCAGCTCTACCGCGATGGCAAGCGTGTCCTTGAGTGCCTGCAAAGAGCGCTTCGCGTTGCAGATGCTTGCATGGACACATCTGTGTCGGTGGAGCTGTTTGTGGAAATCTTGAATCGCTACGTCTACTATTTCGACCAGCAGAATGAGACGGTAAGTCGAGGTGAGCGCAATGGCGGTTAACTCATCAACTGATTAAGAATTGTGCAGGTTACAACAAAATACCTAAATGGACTGATCGAGCTGATCCATTCCAACCTCTCCACCAACCAGGAAGGCAGCCCTGCCACGCTGGAAAATCCGAAGCGACATTTCTTCCGAACATTAGAGTATATCAAAGGCAGAGAATACGAGGGCGTTGTGACAGAAGCGAGACAATAACAGCGACGAAGGTGTTGACTTTGTCAATGAATCAATACCCGATTCGATCAATTGATACAATGAGGAGAATATACCACCCTTCTTTCACCTTTCAATCCCGAAGGACGTTCCGTGAGGATTGTTCTCCTCTATGCTTTACTGCCTTGTCAGCGTCCCCCATGACTAGCTGGCTTTGGTGAAATTGATGCTCTTGCTGAAGAGGATACTTGCCTAGGCAGACTATCTGAGTTCACCGACCAGGACCCTATCGCATTACGTCTACCTCCAAGTCGACTGGTGAGCAAACCTGTTTTCGGTTGATTTTCGTTGCGCCAGCTGACTCATTTCCCATATCGAATCAAAATGCTCAAGGGCCTTGCATAGAAGGATAATGCCAAGATGATGATCTCCGTTCGGTCCGTGACACATGCGCCACACACTGCATGCACTTCAGCTTCGGGTGCATAAACAACCTACATGAAGAACAAGGTCATCTCAAACATGGCACGCTATTTCAGTCGCTGATCCACATCACCTCGCCTCCAACCAAGGATGTATAACCAAGAATCTAAGTCTCAGGTGCCTAGATCTCCACACGATGACCTTGTCCGACTGACCATCATCCCCTGCCACGCGCAGCTGACTGCAACAGTGCCCCTGAACATCCTTTTTCCTTGGATATGGCTTTAACATATTGGTGCGCATGAAGCTTATGAATTCAAGATTCTAAGCTTCGCGACTCCTGTCTTTTCTATCTTCTAGTCGCATGCACGACGCGTGTTGCCCATCGTCATCTCTCACCATGCGTCTATCAAAGCCTCTCCTCTTCAACACCCTTCTCATTCTCCTGACCGCCATTGTCCCAGCCCTCTCTCTTTCTTTTCACCGCCAATCCCGCGCTCTCCTTTGTAACAATTCCCCATCCCACTGCACAACGCGGTACTCTTCCGTCCCGCCCCAAATCGGGTCCCACGACTCCCCCTTCATCGGGCCTTTACCCTCCCAAAACCAAAACATCGCTACTTCCGCCCAACTCGACCGCGGCGTCCGCATGCTCCAAGCCCAGACCCATCGCGCCCCAGACGACCCGAACGCGATCCAGCTATGCCATACCGACTGCCTACTGGAGGATGCAGGACGATTACAGGATTGGCTGGGGGAGATCAAGACATGGCTCGAAAGAGAAGGGAACGGGAACGAGGTGGTGACGTTGCTGTTGACAAATGGTGATGCGATCTCGATGCAGGCTTTCGGGGAAGCGTTCAAGCAGAGTGAGATTGAGAAACACTGTTTCGTGCCCGGGGAGAAGGAGGCGGTGGTGGGCGATCTGGAGAGTTGGCCCACCCTCAGCGATATGATCGCGAGGGGAAAGCGGGTCGTTGTTTTCATGGGTACGTCTGAACCTCTAACCATCCGCAACCCGTCTCTTCCCAGGAGGCCCTCCGTCGTGATGATAACTAACCACGAGCAGACTCCGGCGCCGAACCCCAAGAAGGGCCCCCCTACATCCTCCCTGAATTCCCCTATTTTTTCGAAACCCCCTTCGGCGTCACCGACCCTGCTTTCCCCAGCTGCTCGATCGACCGGCCCCCCAACACCCCCTCCGCCGACGGCCGCATGTACATCGTCAATCACTTCCTGAATGTCGAGGTTGCGCCCGGGATCAAGATCCCGGATCGGCTGAGGGCCGGGAGAACGAATTCGCGAGCAGATGTGGCGGCGCAGGTGGAGCGGTGTAAGGCCGTGCATGGGGGACGCGCCGCGAGTTTTGTCTTGTTGGATTTCGTGGATGTCGGGGATTGGCATCGCGATGTCAAAGGGGAGGCGGGCAGTGAGGGAGGGTTTCTCGAAAAGGCCAAGGAGGCTGCTTGTGGACTTTTGGGCGGCTTTGGATGGGGTTGCTGATTTGGGGGTTTATTTGCCCCCCTAAGCGGTCGCCATTGTTTTTCTTTTCCAGCTCTGGGAAGTTTGTGAGAGAATTGGTGCAGGAGGAAGTGCAGGAGGAAGTGCAGGAGCAAGTGCAGGAGCAGGAGTTTGAGGAGATGGCACTTTACTAAGTATTATATCGTAGAACGTACCTGGCGGGCGCTCGGTTTTTTGGGTTATCTTGCGAACGCGCCGGTCCTGCTAATTAGTCAGTAATATCACCCGATACCACCTAGCTTGCTGAGTTGTGTGAGTGAATACTACTTAGTAATTGCAAACTTCTACATCATCAGAGCCCTGTCCAGCAAGATACAGATACGAAAGCTTGTAAGAACTGCCTACCATTCAATCCAGGCATGGTCAGCGGGACAAGGCTTCCTACAGAGCGACATTGGTCACCAACAACGGTCAAATGAGCTATGTAAACTTTCTTTGTCTGGCAAACCTTGAGGAATGCGAGATGGGTACGCCGTCCTTCTCGGCGAAGAAATTTGGGGTGCGGAAGAAGAAAGGGAGACAAGCGAATTTCAACGAGCATAAATCTTCATCCTGCAGGCAGGTGGATGATGATGGTTTGCAGGACTCCGAGGGCACTGTTGGTATTGGAATGGAGCGGTTCATTGCCGGGCCTTCGAGGTAGGACTTGATAGAGGCCTGTCCGGACAGTTTCTACTCTTACGTGTTCGAATGCCTGGGGTCCCAGCCATCACAAGGTTTTGATGGGGGGTTTTTCCGAGGATGAAGGCGTTGTAGGAGAGGATTTCATTGTCTGTCGTGTCGTATGGTATGGCAGAAAGAAGACGGATTGCCACCTTTTGTTGCCCTTCCTGAGCCTCAGCTCGTTCTGCCTTTTTCATGTCGCTTCGGGTGTGCCGCAAGCTAACAAAAAAAGCCAGCACTAGATCAGGCACTGAAAGAGCTGCCATCAGCAGCAACGGCGGAGGTTTTGGAGCAGAGAGTGTCTGAAGATTGCGGCCATGGTTTGTTGATATCTTATCAGCCTTGAGCGACAGAGGACCATTGAAGGATGGCCAGACCGAACCAGCCCTCTTCAATGAAACAGACAATTCCACCATGCGATCGACACATTAACGTTAGCCTTAGTAGAGAGGCGCACACAAGTGACAATTCCTTTGTTCCATTTTCTCCCATTTTCAATTCACACAATCATCTGCACAATGTCCTTGTTGGTCTTTCTCTCTTTGTGACCCGAGCTGATCCCCACAATGTCCTTGTGGTCTTTCTTTGATATCCAAGCTTAGTATAAAACTGCCTTGATAGATCGATGTTTTTTCTGCACTTCCCCAACACACTCTGGCAAATAATCTCCTTTACACTGACCAAACAGGTATCATTCCAGCAAACGTTTCGCCCCACAGACTTAAATATGCCAACGTCCCACCACTGTCCCATATGCGAGAACGGCATCTTCAAGAATTCCTGTGCGAAGAAGGGCCATATGTGGTACTGTCGTACGCATGAGTGTTGGGTTCGGCGAGACTGGAATTGCGTCAAATGCGAGAGCGTGGCTCGGGCCGAAAAGAGAAGAGAGGATGCTGACGAGGCCGAGGAGGCTAAGAAGAGGGCAGAGACCAAGGCTAAGGAGGAGGAGATCTGCAATGGGACTCGGCGGGTGAGGGGCAGTACTGCCAGTCGGAAGGTGAAGGGGAGTGTTCCGAAGGTGAGTCGAACGAAGAGCGTCAGATGGTGTGATATACGGACGGTGAGGAAGTAGCACGGCCATGATAGGTGAGCTGCGCTATTCACACAAGGGTGCCATCGTCTGCCGAACAGGGTGCCCGTCCTGAACTGAGCTCTTGCTTCCTTAGGCTGCTGAAGGTAGGTTTTTTGCTAGCTTTTGTTTCTCCAATATAAGGTATCCTCAAACAGGTTCACTTTGTGGTTTACGAAGAGAGGGTCATTGGGTGTGTATTTTCCCAGTTAATGGTAGGGAACGTGCCCAAAGACAGATAGATAGATCTCCCATCAGCTTGTCATCAAATTATTGACTTACATGAGTTCTGCGAATCCAGATTCGAATCTTGTTCCCTTCTTGGATGCTTGATTCGTCTGTCACCTCACCACATGGTGCTTGAACTTTCCAAGGGCGGTATTGGATGACTGTTCCGCAAGGCACGCATACAGTTGCGGGATGCCATAGTACATAGTAAGTGGTGTAGAGCGTTGACAGCCAGTAGCTAGTAGGTCGTCCCATCTGTAGTATCCGTACGGCTGGCAAGTGGAAGTGTGAGTGGCAGCCGAAGATCAGCCGGCACTAGTCGGCTCTGTCTGCTTTGCCTGCGAAGCTGCAATTCTTTCTGGTCTTCTGTCTTCTGTCCTCTGGTCTTCTGCTCAACGCTACAGTCCGTTGCGGTCGTATCTTGCACAACAAGAGCAGCTGAGATGGGAATCTTTCGCGCTTTGGAGCATGATCCCATGTTTAACGGGCTCATCAAAGAGACAAAGTGCAATGTCAGTGAGCCGCAAGTAGACTGGGCATGCTCTTGCCCCGTTCTGGAGCAGCATGGAAGCATCGTAGCATACAGCATCATACGCTCACAGCGACTCCAAGATCCGGTTCATTGGAAAGGAGGTGAGTTATGTCTCAAAAAGAAATCTGCCACATCCTCTTTGCACAAAAACATGGCAAATATTGGCTTGCGGCATTCTCCCAGTATTTCAAGACTCATTGTGCAGTTGAGAAAGTACCAGCGGGAAGAAAGAAGACTGTTCCAAGACAAATTAGCGTGCAAGCTGTGAAACTGTGTCTCTGTGTCGTCTAATTGTCTCGCTAATAGCTGGATCCATTGTATCAAGCAAAGAATTGGTAGGTAGAAGATGCTTTGAGACAGACCGAAATGGGCAATCTAGGTCCTTGCAAATCACACAATTGCTTCCTGGTCGTTTGTGCGGAAAGATCAGAACTGCTTACGTTCCTTCCAGATCACGGCAAGTTTGAAACCATCCAGTTCCCAGCTGCCAGACGCATCTTCATTGTGTACGCACAATCATGTCTCTACACGAATGTCTCGATATTATTTTTCTTTTTGATACGATTCGTGTTCTCTCGGCTACTACTCTAATCCTAATACACCTTCAAGGACAAAACGTGTTGACCATATGTGCTACATATAAACCCATCACTATTCACCTGGATCGTATCCTCGTTTCTTTCCAACACCTCATTTGCACGCAACACATATTTTCTCAACGCTGCAGCTGGTCTGTAACCTATCTTCTAGTCTACACGCCGTCCATCCATTATTCTACGTGATAACATCAGTTGTCAATCTTATCATCAACCAATTCGCCATGTCATCAGCACAGACTATGACATCCATCGGCATCTTTCAAAGTCCTTTCCGTAACCCTACTAATGATCCTGAGGCTCTTGGTTCCTACACGAGCTGTGAAGGACCACCTGCCCGAGGTCAAACCTCGCCAGTGGCCAAGATTCGGAAACATATCGCTTCGACATTCGCTCCAAAACCTCCAACACATACCACCGACTTTTTGAAACCGGAGCCTGACCTCGTTAGCCTGGACTGGGTATCCGAAGAAAAACTACTCAGTGCAAGAGCACGCTCAGCACCACCAACAAGGCAGGACGGCTCAGACATGCGTGCTGCTCCCAGTAGTCTCGATTCTGTAAGCGCTTCGGAAACAATGAATGTGAAGAATCCTACGGCAGAAGACATACGCAAGCAACCCAAGTCAAGCCGCAAACTGCGCCATTTCTCAAGTCGCGCCACTATTGCCGATGCCGGCCGGGCTGTCTTCGGAAGTCAAGTATCAGAAGCTAGTATGGGTATTCGACCTTCGACTCCGACTCAAACTCGACCCACCACTGCTGGAGGCGATGGTGGATCTTTTCCCACAGGCGATGGCCAGCCTGGGACGAAGGGCTGTCACTGTCCTTGCAAGTGCGTCAAGAGCGGCTATGACAACACCAAGCTTTGCAAGTGCGCATGCTCCTGTAAGAACCGTCAGTGCAAAAGCAGAAAGCTACCAAACAAGATACTAAGGATATTCGAGGGCCATGGATTCTGCAGGCAGCGCGGTCGTTGTGGCTACGCAAAGAAGGGAGAGGAGCGTCGCGACGATGAGCAGGACTAGGGCTGAGCGGACTTGATCGGAGGGTGCACTGGGGTCCTGGCATCACGGTCAAGGTGAAGGAAATGCAAGGGCGCCAGCAGTACCGCTGGTGAGATGGTAGCACGGAGTAAAGGCTTGAGGTCGTGTTACCCAATCCACAGAAGGACGGAATACTCGCTTCATGATAGCTACTTGCTTGGACGATACTGAGGGTTGGCTGTTCCTACCTCGTTCGAATACCATAGCTAAGCAATACGCAATAGCTTCCGTGAGAAAATTGATTACTGCCCGTTCATCACAAATATCATGATATTGATGCCAAATATATGTCCCGCGCACCATAACTGCTCTTTGATTGCCCAGCCTCTCCAGCCCCCACGATCCGTATCTATGTTGGTTCAGGGGACATGTCCGCTCCATGCCCAGGGCGGAGCGCCTTTAACTTTAAGAGCCATTTACTCGAGTATTTATAAATCACTCCCTTGAAGGTGAGCACCGTAGTCTAGCTAATTGGACAGGATTAGTGGCTTACATGAGGCGGTGGGGTAGAATTATGCACATGTCTGGGTGCGGGGACAGAAAGACGAAGGTTATGAAGGAATTGGTAGTCTTGTTGTCGTGGATATCATCTTTACATCCTGTAGACATCTTCGAGACGGTCAAGCCTCGGGCTTGCGACGTCTGCTCGCTGCGCAAGGTAGTCCAGCTCGCATCAAAATGTCACGACATGGCACGAGGCTCATGCCTGACAGATCAAGTGCTCAGGCACCGAGCCTTGCTTAACTTGTGTCAAGGCCAGCTTCGACTGCTCTTATACGAAGAAACCTCTAAAGCCAGGTCCAAAAGGTCCGCGTGTTACGGCCTCAAACCGCATTCGAAGATGACTCCATGATGTTAGATCACAAGCTTGCATAAATGCCAACACCGGTGCAAGACCTCCGCTATCATCAAAGACTTCGACTTCATCTCCGCAACGTACACATGGGCCTGCAGTCGAATTGCCTGGGGCATCTTCTCCACAGTCCCTGCCGACTGTAAATGGTCGCTCCAGCATCTCTCTCCAGAGTCTTCACGCCTAACTGGATATCTACCACCACAAGATGTACACCGTGTGGCCTGTTAGTGCCGGACAGCGTTGTTGGAAAAGCTTGGTGAGAATATCAACGATTCAGAGGCATGGGCTCTGGAATAATCCATCTGTGCAGCAACAGGAGCGCAATTGAGACTGGACGCCACCTTTGGCTCTACTTCCGTGCAGGCAATCCCTCTATCATTGATGGATTCGCTATGGAAGCTGAGCGGAGTCGAGCTGTGTTCGACTACAAGGGAGAAGCTACCATCAATTGCATCGCTCAAATCAATGGATTCCAATATCTCCTCTGCGTCTATGCCTCTAAGAAACAGTCGAAAGACTCGACACTGAGCAGCGTCACCCAGGGCGTACTGACCACTCAATCAAAACCAACCTTCGCTTCGCAGCTACCCGTGATAAATTACAGCAACTTTAAGCCCACTGCAAGTTGGACTTTTTGGATGTAAAAATGGCACACCCAACATCCCGAAATGAGCCTTCCAAAAACGCACCAGCGAGAAAGAATCTTGTGGCATGTCTTTGAAAACCTGATACTGAGGTTTTCTGCTGTGTGGCGCCGTGCAGCGCAACAGTCAGCCCTACACATCATGAACTTCCGAAACTAAGTAACATTGAGATCCAGAGAGGTTCAACTTCCACAATCCAGATATTAGCAGAATGTGAACTGACTGTGTACCAGAGTCTATGCCTTCAATAGTAGACCAGGCCATGACCTCAACCATGCCGCGGTGAAGTAAAAACACATAACTGCTGGAACTTATAGAAGTGGTGAGGACACGACACCGCCCCATTCCCACGGCTACAATCCTACTGAGCGATCTTGACCACAATCTTCCCCCTATGATTCCCGGAGTTCAACCTCTCAAATGCCTTCTCGGTCTCCTCCAAGTCCCAAACACTATCCAGGACAGGCTTACACTGCCCTTCGTCTATCAGCTTCGAAACTTCCGTCAACTGCGAACCAATTGGTTCCATAATGAAAAAGACGCTTTTCACGTCTTTCTTCCCCTCCCTCATCTCCTCCCAACCATCCGGCTTCCTCGTTTCCGGCGGTCCGATAATACTGATTAACGTTCCTCCATCCTTAACGCAATACCAGCACTCTTCCAACGTCTTCCCTCCAATTAAGTCAATAGCAATATCCACCTCATTGTTACCGTCCATCTCAACCCATTGCTTCAGACTCACTTCCTTGTAGTTGATCGTCTGTGACGCGCCGAAACTTCGAATAAATTTATCGTTCTCCAGACTCCCAATCTGCGCCACAACCTCACACCCTGCAATTCTCGCCAATTGCACCAGCCACACACCCACTGCACCCGCTGCAGCAGTAACAAGAACCCTCTTCTTGCTACTACCGCCGCTTCCTCTCAAAGCCCTCTCAACCAACCCCTCCGCCTCTATCCCACCATGCACAAACAAAGCCTGCCAAGCCGTGAGAACCGACAAGGGCACACAAGCCGTCTCGACCCAATCCGTACTCTTCGGCTTCAACGCCATCTCTCCCGTTCTGGCGATGGTATACTCCCTACAGTTTCCCGGCCGCGACGCCGGAGTGCGCGCATAGATCTCATCGCCTGGCTGAAAATGAGATCCAGGGGGTGAAGTGACCACAGTGCCACCGAGGTCGTAGCCCGGTATGATCAGTTTCTCCGGGTTGTCGGAGAAGATGGCGTCGGGATAGAGGAAGGGCCAATCGAGTTCACGGGCGCAGAGGGCGGTGGTTTGGACGCGGATCAGGTGGTCGCCTTTTGTGGGGTCGGGGGTTGGGATGGGGGCGTTGGGTTGGAGATGTAGGGTTCGGGTGGGGAGATCGTAGATGACTGTTTTGGCTGTGGAGGGGAGAGAAGAATCTGCAATGGGGGTGGTTGATGTCGCCATATCGGGTTTCTTGAATCTGCTGGAATATGTCGCCGTCGTCGTCAATAACGTCGTCGTTGTAGTGGTAGTGATAGTAGTAGCAGTAGACCTATCATGGAGATAAAATCTCCATCTCTCACTCCCCGGTTCAACGAGAGAACCTTTTTCTGAACTCGCATGGCCAGCTCCCCAAAAAAAAGAAAATCCCGCATTTGATGCCCCTCTTTCTTCTGGGCAATGGACTCCATACATAGAGGCATGCATGTGAAAGGTTTACCACGTAACTTTACTGCCAGTTACGAGTTTCGAGTTAGAATAGGCTTCAACCATCGTATCTAGCTGGCATCGTGTATGCATGCATGCATGCATGCATGCGCACATTGCCTGCCGTGTGTTGTGCAAGCATGTGCGAAGGGGGGGCAATCCGGACTTGTCTGTGCCCGTAGACGAGAAGAGAAGAGGGAGCGGGGAATAATTGAAGTAAGTTAGTAATAACCATGTACTGTACTGTACTGTACTGTACGGTAAGTAAGCCGTGAGACCCCGTACGGCCGGCAGGCAGGTAGACAGGCATGTGGTTTCTACCCTCGTGTAGATTTGGCGGCGGGCTAAGTGGTTACTTAGCTGTAGGCACTGGTGGGCACCGACCGACGGCGTCGGGGTGGATGCAAGCGTTCCGTGGTTACAGAGTTACACTGCCTGGAGTATCAACGAGTCAGGAGGAGAATTTGCAGCAGCACTTCTTGCCACCTGCAGCTGGTGGAGGGAGTTTGCCTCGTGGAACTTGGAGTGATGGAGAGATGGGCGGATGGAGGGAATGGAATGGATTGCGGATTTTCTTCTCGGCTGCTTTCTCGGTCGCGACTACGTGGGGGCTTGGTTGTTTGGGTGCTGCGGGAATTGGGAGGGAATAGTCTTCCATATCTCAGTTGAGTCGACGATAGTTTGGATATTTGACATTCGCAGGAGCTATATAAAGCAATATCTAGGGCCTGTTCTCTTGTTCAGGGAGATGACAGTGGGAGGAGAGTCTTCAATCCGCTTTGGAGCCAAGTAACTGATTCCGTTTTCTTGCTAAGTAAGCAGTGAATAGATGGCAAGTGTAACAGCCGTACATAGACTGGCCTCGGTAGGAGGAGGATATATTCCCAAGCCAAGGACCGATGTCTTCTCCTTTAAGCCCGGTGAGTCCCAGTTGACTCTCTCTCGCTCTCACACTTCATCAGTACGACGGAAGTAACCCATCATCCTCGTCATCTTATCCAGCTCGCACTCAACAACAGCACAGGTCTAGCTTCCGACCATGAACGGTGGCCATGCGTGCGAAATATTCGGCTGGACTTCGTTGCTGTCTTCTCTTCTTGCTCCGTTCACGGCTAAATACTGCGGGATGGCCCCTTTGCATGTGCTGTGACAGACCCTCCTCCGTAAAGGCGTTCGTGCTATCGCAGCCATTTGCAGTGCATCGCAAGGGGCCAGGCTCGGAATGTCTCTTCATGTGTGCCGAGGTCTCCAGCCATCTGGCGACAGACGGGACATCTTTTCTTGGCAAGGTAGGCACAATCGGTATAGAAGCCATAGTGAGCACGTCCATCAATTATGTTTCCGCAGTGCAGGCAGCAAATCCCATCATCTTCGATCTTGCTTTCTCCTCGAGCTTCTCCTGCTGGGCGTTCCGGACCCATGCTTGGAGTAGGCATATGTTTGAAGACTTCGACAGTACCCGGTTCCTGTTATGACTCAGCCGATAAACTAATCTCCACACACCTTGTCCCACCTGTTTGATCTGCGTCTGCTCCATCGGCGCTTCCTTAATCGTTGGAGTGAAACTGGGCATGGCCATTCTGCGGCTTTTTTCCTGTAGCAAGATAACCACCACAGCTAAAAAAAGATGTAGGTAGAATGTTCTTGGAGATGTGAGAGGATCACGGTGGACTTCCGTATCCGGAGGTGACTGCTCGATTATCGGGTTGAGTTTCAGAACACTATCGTCGGCTTCTCTGGCACAAGAGATATGAACCCTTCCCCAGAATTGAATTGGTTCTTCAATTCTGTATTGCGATTCGAATCGAATGCGCGGTCTATAGCAAAAGCGAGAAATAAATGTAGCTGCAAATGATAGATGTGGATGCGGATGTAGATTCGGAACGATAGAAAATGGGAGCTTATGTTCTCATCAAGGGGAAGAGCAGAAAGAGGAATATGGCTCTGTTCAGGCGAGGCTGTCACTGCAAGCACGTCGAACAAACCATCTTCAGCAAGAAAGAATAGGGCAGTACCTGACACTCACTCATGCAGCCTCCAAGATCGCACCGGGCAGGGAGAGCTGGAATTGTGGAATGGAAAGAGGAAATGACCGTACGGTCCGAAAATGAAGAAGGAAAGCGAAACGCCTAAAACAACATCAAGTCTCGTTCCAATGGGTATCCTAATGAGCAATGCTCCAAACATGTATGCAATCAACATGCGAACGCGGACCTAGTATGCATATCCAGGTTTCATCAGCCTGCTTTTTGTCCACCACCACACCAACATTTAATATCACCATCACGCTCGACTTGAACAACAATATCCATGTGTTTGCTCTGCAAGTAGTCAGACACTCGAGCTCGGACATCATCAAGATCTGCATGTTGTGAAGCGATGATGTGGATCACACCGAGCACTGTCTGATTCTGATTCTCATGTTCGCTGCGATGACTGTGATCGTTGTTTTCATCATGATGGTGAGAGTGTGAATGCTCAAAGGCATGTTGATGCTCATTAAGATGATGGTGATGGTGATGGTGATGGTGATGATTATGAGAATTTTCGTGAGGGTGATGATGATGATGCTCATGTCCAGGCTCTGAGTCCCTTTTGCCAATATCATCCAACCAGAATTTTGGTGCCGAATATCCAACTACACCACGAATTTTGCTAACACCAGCAAGAACGTCTCTCAGGGTATATTCAACGTCACTGGGCAAGGACAAGAGCAATTTTTTGCCACTGCTGAAAACAAGGGGAACCGCAGATGCGAATATCAGTATCGCTATAGCGCAAGAGGCGAGGGGGTCGAATCCGCTCCATCCAAAGTAGCGAACACATAACGTGGATATGACGACAGCCACAGATCCAAGTGCGTCAGCCATGATATGTAGATAGATGCCGTACATGTTGTCACCACCATGGTGATGTGCTTGTTCTGACTTTGCCGCTGATGGTGCTGGCAAGGCTAAAGGAGCAGAGTGGTCATGAGCATGGCTAGCGTGCGAATGAGAATGTCCACCATGGCTATGATCGTGACCACCGTGTCCATGTGCATGTCCATGTTCGAAAGCCATTATTCCAACAAGGTTGACACCCAGACCAAGAGAGCTGACAATGAGGAGCTCCATGGTGCGACTCACATCAGAGCCTTCAACCAGTCGCTCGATAGCTTCCCAGATAATCTCGATGCTGATGAGCATCAGGAAGATCCCATTACCAAAACCAGCAAGGGTATCCATTTTGCCATAGCCATATGGATATTTTACGCTGGGAGGCCATTTACTCATGACAGCAGCACAAAGACCGACCAACAGCGCGAAACAATCGAAGAACATGTGGATGCTATCACTGATCAGCCCTAGTGAACCGGTCAATACTCCGTAGGTCGATTGCACAAGCATGAAGGACAGATTCAGCAGCATGAAATAGAAGATTCGACGAGAATCCTTGTCGGCCAATATTCCATGTAATAACGAGTATCGCTTCGTGGATTGCAGCAGAACCTTTGTAGGAGCTGAAATGTTTCTATCCCGCCGTTGCATGTGCTTCTCGCTTGACATAGGATGCGTATGAAGGGAAGCTTGTGGTCTGGTGGCATCCAACTGAACAGCCATATAAGCCATGGCTCCAAGAATTGCATCTTGCCAAAGGGTATCAAATTTTGATAGCGTCATGGCGTTGCCGAGGATTGCTGCAGCCAAGCCTGTCGCAAGCGGGACCAGCGCTTCTTGAAACATGGAGGTCTCCATCGTCACCAATGACCACATCGTCAGCATAGCGACCACGAGCAGAATCGCGAAGGATTCAACAGTTAGAGCCGAAAACTCGCTAAAGAGGTAGAGTATGCCGGCAGCCCCCGCTGTAAGAGCTCCGGAGAGTAATGTAAGAGAGGTCTCTTCGGCTGTCGCAATCAATGGAGAGGTTTTGATTTTGACGGACAGGTGGTATGAGGGCTCAGCTACATTCCATGGCGTAAAAGGGACAGCTGGGGTAAAATTTGCTGAGTTTGGTGGAGATGTAAGAGAGCTCTCATGGGGAGCCTCAACCAGATATGGTGGACTGCAGAAGAAGGTAAATACAATCACAGCTAGTACACCTGCTGTAGCGGAGAGCCCAGAGCTAGAACCATAGTGAATCGCGGTCACGCAGAGAAAGATTGAGAAGGCGAGCGTCCAAGTCTTTTGTGCTAGCAGATTTTTCCATCCATGAACGTGGCTCAAATTAAAATGCTCTTTATTCCTCGGGACGAGTCCTGATGAAATCGATACCAAGACCAGGACAGAGACAGCCAAGCCACCAAGCTGTAGGGCAGCGATATAAGGTATTGCAATGCCAACTGCTCTTCGAAGTATTCTCAAAACGGTCCATAAGTCCAGGCCAATGGTGGATGCTTTCTTGGTATCTCCTGCCACGCTCAACCCTGGCTTGGCATTGTATGAAGGCGAATTATATCCTCTACATTTTTCGAATGTGCCCAGAAGAAGCAGGATGCAGGACGTTAGCATTAAGCTAATCAAGATGTCATTCGAAATCTGGCTGATTGAGGACTCGCGCAAGTTGGAGTTTGTAGTGGTAGAGAATCGTTCGGTATGGCGTGGATTGAAGTAAGATAGGAGTATGTACGGAAGGGGCACAATACTTGAGAAGAAGACTCTGCGCAAGTAGCTGCGAGGTCTAATGGTTGTCAGCATACTCTGCCAGTCTTGTATTTTGCAAAATGCCCTACCTTGAGTTCGGGTCCATTCCGCCAGCACTGATTTGGGCCTTGCCCTCAACCCGAGGCAACTTGTAGGAGTGTGGAAGAGAAGTAACCTCTGGTTGGTGATCCTGGGCCGCAGCTTTTTCCTGTTTGGATAACCTTGTGAGTCGTCCGTTTGTTTGGTGGGAAGGTGCGCTTATGGATCCGTTCGCTGCAAAGGAAACATGATTTATAATACCGTTTTCTCCATGCTTTTGGCGGCTTTCGTGACCTGGAGGCCTTCCATCATAGTTTATTGATCCTGGGTCAAATCGTTCAGAGGGGATACGAGGAAGGGTAAACGGTCTTGCTGAACGTTGACTGCTGCACTGGTGCGATTGTGAGCGACTGTGGCTATGCACATGTTGAGACGATTCAACAGTAGAAATCAGAGGCCCGGTAAACCCGGATGCCATCGTGCAGAACGTCGTGAATCGTTCATCTACCACCTTCCGACGGTACAGATGAATGGTGTCAATCTAGACCAGCCTTCTAACAACCATTCGGCTTGGTAGCACGTTTTCACCACCATGATGCCAGCTCCGTGAGTATATGAAGCTTCAACAGGAGCAGCGCTTGAAGCAGCCACCATCAAATCACCTTTTGAGAGAAGAATGCGAACAAGATCGTGAATTATCATGTGCCCGCAAATGGCGATAGCTTGTGCCCCTGAGATTAGCAGGATTGATGTCAGTGGCTAGTACTCCGCAGTTGCTAGTCATTTATCCCTGCTGCTGGCCCACACGATTCCCAATCTGAAACGCGATTCCTGCTTACATAAGTTCGTTCAGTCCACCATTTGACTGCCTGGAACTCCTCGGTGGCTCCAATCAGCAAAACCAATTGCACTACGCATAGCCATTGCGGTGCTGTGTTATGAATCTGAGACGATGCTTAGGGGAACTGGATACTGAGTGCAGACTTGTGACGCGTTTCTGGTCGTTCATCATGAGCCTTCGGCGCTGGTGAAGATGTTGCAAGCATTAATTACTGTTGCTGTGGTAACATCAGCAATCTTTACCATCATTCTTTTGTGCCTCCCATCCCAATACAGAGGGCAGATTTCAGACCGCACTTCTATCCAGAATGGCCCAGGGACTCGGTCGACCAGCAGTGTCGATGTCCAGATTCTCGTCCTCGGAGACATAGGGCGAAGTCCTCGGATGCAATATCATGCTACTAGTATCGCAAAGCATGGAGGATATGTCCAGCTCATTGGCTACAGTGGTATCTCGAGTTTCCACCCGCGGTCTGCCAGTGTCTGATGTATATCTACAGACACTATTCCTAATCCGGATGTCACTACAAATCCCAGGATATCAATCATACCCTTGCAGTCATCACCAATAGCCTGGCAAACGAGCAACAAACTACTCTTCTTGTTTTGTGCTCCATTGAAGGTCCTCTTCCAGATATGGTCACTATGGATCGTTCTTGGATACCGTACAAAGCCGTCAAAATGGATGATGATTCAGGTAGGCATTGGCCCCTGACGTATCAATCACTCTTTCCTGTCATCCTGATCTGTTCTGAGGGCTGGTTACAGTCATGCTGATTCCTATCTTTAAGAATCCTCCTTCTATTCCTACCCTGGCAATTGCTCAAATCGTTTGTTTCCTACGTCACACACGTCTGATCATTGATTGGCACAATTTTGGCTATTCGATTCTTGGCCTGAAGCTCGGTTCGTCCCATCCGATGGTGAAAACCTCAAAATGGTACGAACATATGTTCAGTCAAGGCGCTACCGCACATTTCACCGTCACAAACGCCATGGCTCGTGTCATTAGAGATGAGTTTCACCTACGTGCACCCATCATACCCCTCCACGACCGCCCAGCCAACCACTTTCGACCCATCGACCCACAAGACCGGGCAGCCAGCTTAGGGTCTGTTCTTCCACTCTCCGAGGCCTCCGACCCAATTTTAAGTGGCAAGACCCGTCTCCTCGTCTCTTCGACCTCCTGGACACCCGACGAAGACTTCTCTATCCTCCTAGAAGCACTCTGCATCTACACCACCAAAGCTCTAACGACCCACCCTCATCTTCCCGAGATTCTAGCCATCATCACAGGCAAAGGTCCCCAGAAAGCAGCCTACGTCTCCCGTATCGAGCAGCTCGAGGCAGAAGGAGCCCTCGAAATGACCCGTATCCGCACCGCATGGCTGAGCATACAAGACTACGCCACCCTCCTAGCATGCGCAGATCTAGGCGTCTCCCTCCACACTAGCAGTAGTGGCGTCGATCTACCCATGAAAGTCGTGGATATGTTTGGTGCTGGACTTCCTGTGGTGGGTTGGGATCAGTTCGAGGCTTGGCCGGAGCTCGTTACAGAGGGTGTCAATGGGAAGGGCTTTTCAAGCGTGGAGGGGCTGGTAGAGAACTTGACTGAGCTGTTCGGAGATGATGGAACGAGTCTAGCGCAGCTGAAAGACGGGGCTTTGCAAGAAAGTGGGAAGAGGTGGGATGATGAGTGGGATGCTGTGGCAGGGAAATTGCTCGAGCTGACTTAAGTAATGGAGCGCGATACTCTTTGCTGAGCTTCGGGTATCAAGAGAGATTCAGGGAACAACACGTCCTCGGTGGAAAATCTAGAATCTCCTAGATAAGAAGACAATGTTGTGAACTGCAACCTCAATGCTCAAGATCCAAGAAATAATCAGGAGTTAGAGCATTACGGTCACGGTGTCAATGGCCTGAGCTCAAAGTCAACGTTGGCAACAACCCCATCCTTTTCTACCCTTACTCTTACCAGGCTTATGGCAGCTGCTCCAGCTATATGCCGAAGTGTAGCTGTTTGAGGTTGAGCTGTGTAACCTACAGCCACACAAACAACATGAAGCAAGCAAGAATAGGAATGTTTGACAGTGTGTCCATTTGAGTCAAACTGAATCAGATAAATCAAATCAAATGCTTGGAAAGTACTAAATCAAGACTTGGAAATTTAAATCTTAACAAAAATGTTTTTTAATTTAAAATATTTAGGACATTTAAATCAAAAGATAAAAGTCTTGGCGGACTTTGTTTCTGAGATGAAAATCCATGACAGGATCTGTAGATCAAACCTAAACAGGCAATGCCAATAAGTTTTTTTTCCTTCCTCATCCATGGAGAACATGGTACCATGGCTACACACAACCAACAATCCCGAATCTCTCGCCGGATCATACCAAAGCAACCGAACCCCACTCTGAACGCTGGCACTGGCAAACGCTGCTTCCATCTCTTGAATCATTTTCTCAGACCAGCATATAGAGCGCCTTCTACAGGCATGTCTCCCTGTCGGTTGGAAAAAGCGAAGTGTCTGACTTTAAACACCTCCTCTGCCGTTAAGGGACGACATCCCATTGTAATGGCGCCATCGTGTCTATGCTAGGGGTGGAGATAATAGCGCTACAGCTTCCGGCTAGAAGGATGTCAGCCTTGTAGTGGCGGAAACCAACCGCGATCACAAAGGCGGCCAGGCCACGGCAGCCGATTATGGGGTTGGTAGGGCTTCTCAAAGGGTCATGTTATGTTGTCCTGTGTTGTGCATTTTGGGTAACCTTGAGTCCTGACCCTCTGCTGTTAATGATTTCGAAAACCATATAGGTTAAGCCGAAGATGGTTGACAGGCAGACATTCTGCTCGGAGGTGTTTCAGTAATGGATAAGCCCCCTCTCCTCCGGAAGAACGGGAAATGTGAAGCAGGAAGGAAAAGTGCACGGTGTCACTCTGTAGTGGCACTTCAGTGCTTGGAACTCAACGATCATCCTATGTGTAGATTGTGTGCGAAACTGGAGTATCCTTCCATCCTCAATGCGCCGGTGAAACGTTAGTGAGGGATCAGCTGCATTGACAGCCAGCAACCAGACCTCTTCCTCCTCCATGGTCTTGTCTTCAAACCTCTCGACCTGTTGCCACAACCATCTCTTCTGGCCACCCACCGCATTAGCAAATCCATCCACAGCCATGTTTCGGATACGGGCCATATATCTTGACCCGGTTCTTCTGTGAACAGCATAAAGTAAGGCTTCATGTTTTCCGGTGGCAATGACTAAATTGTAAGAGGTTGGGAGGGATACCGAATAACATGGTTAAGCCCCGGCGAACTCCAAGATCTTCAAAGTATGTTCACAGATCTTCTGTCAAGCAACTGCAACGGAGACAATATCGATAGATCGAGTGATGAAATACTGTTAAACCAGGTATTTGGTTTTGCGAGACATTCTTGGAACATTTCTGATAGTTAGGCTGTGTAAGCCAGTTTCAGGAGGCAGGAATCCCCTGTAGTGGGCCGGCCCGGAGGCCAGACGACAAATTCTCAGGGCCGTGTTGGGACACACTACTCCGCGATAATTAGTATGCACTACTTCTCCATTTGTCCTTGACATCCACCTAAATCCTCTTTCTCAAACCAGCATATAGAGCGCCTTCTGTGGGCAGGTGTACATCATGATCAGAAAACGCGCAGTGTCCAATTTCCTCCCCCTCCTTCGACGTGACACCCCATTGTAATGGCGCTGTCGTGTCGACGTCCGAGCGCCCGTGACAGGCAGCGGAAATAGCGGCGCTGCAGCTTCCAGCCAGCGGAATGCCAGGCTTATAGCGACGTAGACCAAGCAAAGTCATAGAAGCCGCCAGGCAACATCCCAGCACGATCGTAATCAGAATCGCTATTGGTGAATACCCACAAGTCGAGATTGCAGCGGGGTCCACAAGCTTTCCCGTTTTATCGAAGGACGCCACTTGCGCCAGAAAGATCGATTGTGAAACTGACCAATGTAGGACACCAGACAGGACGAGGAGTGGGATTGCGTATCTATATGGCAATTGGAGGAAATATGTACTGCGTTGCCCGAGCTTAGGCTTCGATAACCGAAGCGCTTTGCGTTCGTGGGCGAAGTGGGACCATTCGTCAGCCAGTAGCATCGAAGTGAATATACCATTTGATAGAAGGTAAAAGAATGAGAGGATAGGCTGTGAGACGTTAGTCATTAGAACGCTTGCCATGAGCGTTGTTCCGCCAATAGAATGCAACCTCAATCCGCTAATGAGCGTGGTAGGGTGGACAGCACCAATGCCCATATCGATGAGGTCCTTGAATGAAAAATCTCTGGTGTTTTTATCGTTCGCCATAAGTATTCCATATCCGAACAGAATTGAGACTGTAACCAGGCAAAAGTAAAATCTATGATGGTAAGCTTTATCTGCAATGGAGCAAATCTGGGTACTGACAACAAGGCGCATCCCCACCACCTAGGTCCGCTTGCAGCATTGAACCAGCGCTTGACGTTTGGTCGGTATTTGATTGGATCCGCCTTTCCGCCAATTGACAAGCTATAGCCCTTCTTGCCACGAAATGCTTCTTCATTGAAATCTATTAATCCTCGGTGATAGTGCTCGCACTCCTTAGTCTTGATGGCGTCCTTGCTGATTAGACACATTTCATCGGTGGTGGGATCGTTGCTATTCAAGAAGGAGTCAACGGCATCCCCTATGGTGATCAGAGGGGTGTCCCTGATGCCAAAGGCAACAAGAAACATGAGCAGAGATTTTCCAAAATTGCAGATTATGACTATTACGACGATCGACAGACTGAAATTGAGGCTGCATTCACCCTTAACCGGCTCGCTCAGGCAGTATTTGATGTCCCACCCATTCGAATGCCAGCGGTCTGAATGCGTTCTGATTTTGGACAATTTCAAAGAACAAGGATAGCTCGACGACATCTCTGACGCACCAAGTCCGTATCGAGTGTTGCCATCGGGGGCATCACATATCCAGTTATAGAAATCGAAGGTGCCTGGCTTTTGGTTATCGAACCTAAATGTATGCGAGATCACTCGTTCCACTGAGCCATTCCCAGACATTGAACGAAGAGGGGTACCATCTGGGCTTGTTTTGGGTTGAATCACAGCCACCAAATTTCTTCTGGTACTGAGGAACTCGGTAGCGTAGGAATTGATGCAGGCAATTGGTTCAAGCCTATCCCATGTTTTGGCTTGAGCCTGAATGTCTTCGATGTTGGCAAATTGCGCTTTAGAGTAGAGGCCTTGTGGACCACCTTCAATGAAACTTTCATATGCAAACACGGCATCGTACTCGTTGGCTGCAATCGTGGAAAAAAAAACCGAGTTATACATCAGATGTAAGGGAATCGAGCTCAATCCAAGTAACCACCATATGACTACTTTTCTAGCTGCAACCGTCTCAAGATTTCGCATGCTTGGAACTCCAATGTCTAACCATCTATTTTTGGCATGAGCTTCATCAATCTCTTTCCTGGTCGGGGCGCAAAGAATCTGCATGCAGTAATTGCTGCCGCTGAGGAGCGTTGTGCTCAGGGCATTAACAGCCAAATGGATCAAAGTGTTGATGGTTTCTGCTTGGTGGCAATCACCGGCGAAGACTTTGGCAACTCCGTGTTCGAATTTGAACTTCTTTAAAGCCCATATTAAGACGACTGTGTTGATTACAAAAGTAATGGAAGCCAAGCTGGCTGCCCCAAGGGCGCCGACAGCCCAGCTTACGGTCAGTAATGGTCTGCGTATTGGTCGAGTGGTCTTTCCATCAAGAAAGACTGCCTCTTGGTGCGCTGGTTGATCGTTTTCCGCATCGTTGGCAGCGAGTGGTGAATACATGGACGAGGTAAGCTCCAGCGGAATATCGTCTCTATTGCGTGGTCAGTCAATCTAGATTGAAGCTCCAGAACTTCAATTGACGTACGTGTAAGTTTGATACATATTTGCGAGGGCATCAAGCTAAGGATTTCATCAGCAGAGGAGAAATCATCAGGTCGAGATGAAAAGACGGCTTGGGAAGGCTCAAACTCGCGGAGGGGAAAGGGAGGGATGTATTGCCGCACAGTCTATTCCGTCAGGAGGGCGCAGAGGCTGTTAAATGGCCATGAAGGAAATATAGCCGTGATGGAGTTCGGTTGCGAATTGGGGCTTTGACAGTTGATGCAGCAGTAGGTAGTGTGTAGCTCTAGGGAACAGAGGCTTAGACATAGCCAGTCTCGCGAAACAGGGAATGTTCAACGGTGATCTTCTCCCCTAGCCAGTGCTGCAGGCAGCAGCGTCGGCACTCAACAAGTTTACAGTCCAAAGGTCTCTGACAGCGCAGTCAGACTACATCAAATTGGAGGGCCAGGAAAGGCCTCGCCATACTCCGTAATTGCTGTGGTCTCAGCTTGATTGGCATCGAAAGGGGTTGCCCTGTTGGTTGGGTAACAATTCAAGTGACGCCCTTGCAGGAAAAGTGGCTGAAGCTTTAGCGTTGAGACCTGAAACGTCCATATGGGGGCCATTTTGTTGCTTACTATGTACAACCTTAGCCAGTCAGCGAGTCTCGCTACCTTTTCTCAAACAAGCAGATACAGAATAGACCACCAATATTTCTATAGCCCGTGGCATTGATTATCTGAGTATCTTACATGAAACATTTTATGATTGCGCTTTCTCTGTTGGCTTGTCCAAGCGACAACCAGGTGACTAAGTACTACTGTGAGCTTGTTTGTGTCTTCCCAGACTTTACCTCCTTTACCTCGTGGCAGACGTCGTTTGAGTGTAGAAAGAGTGTTAATTTTCTACAGAAG